TAATAAAGAAAAAATAATAAAAAGTGAAATATTTAAAGTTTTTGTTTTTTATAAATTTTTGGTTTGGAGCGAAGAGAAAAAGAGTTTTCGCCTCACCATCTCATACTAGTCGAAATAATCCATTTCGTCACTTTTTTAAAGTGCCGAATATTGGCCAAAATTTAATCTAATTTCTGCCAATTATTGTCAAAACAATTGGCATTTTTAGTTATAGCTGATGTTGTCCAATTCAGGTATCACACAAAAAAATATTCGACATTAATGATTGGTAGTTATTTGATATATTGTATCACTAAGCAAAATAATACAATTCATCAAATTTAAAGTACCAAAAGTTAGCCAAAATATAGTCTAAGTATATCGATCATTACCAAAAAATTGGCACTTTGAATAAATAGAAACTCGGTTACCAATCAGTATTTATGTTAAAATTGGTCAAAATTCAGCATAAATCAGCTTAAAATCGGTCAACAATCAGCAAAATCAATTAAGCACATCAGGAAATTTTTAAAGGTGATGTATAGTGTTGAGCATCACCTTTGTTTGTTATCGCCAAAAAAGTGATGATCATCGAATCCTATGCGAACAATCAGCATTAAAATTCACATTGATTAATACATAATAAATGATAATTAACACAAAAAATTAATAATTAATGACAATAATTAATACAAAAAATTGATAATTAACGACAATAATTAATACAGAAAACTGATAATTAATGCAATTAACATACGCGTTGATTTAATTGTTTATTTATTATTTCAAATAAAGTCAAAATTCATATGCTGCAATATAACTATGATACTAACACTAATATCAATATAAACAAAAATTACATATATAAAAAAAAATATATTTGCGTGATTTTTTTACATATTAATGTTCATTACTGTAGTTTTTTTATGTCATTGACATAATATAAAAATTCCATTAAATAATAAACAAATTTATTAATCAAAAGTAATAATTATCATTAAAAATAATTAATAATTCATTACTTTTATTTTATAATTATGCTTCTTTCTAATTTTTCAACATCTCAAAATGTTTATCAACTACCTTCGTATCTAATTTCGTTGACAAATATTCAGGATCGAAAATTATTTCTAGAACTGCTTATATCTATAAAGCGTTCAGTTCAGTTTAATCATTTCTTGCAAACGTTTCCTTAATGATCTTTGCAACGTACATATCAGATTCTTGATCTTATAGATCAATGCGATTATATAGTTCATTGTATACAGTTCTTGTTTTACTATCATTCTTCTAATTTTTCATCTCGTTCTTTCTCCATTTTTCTTTAAATGGTTATAATCAATTAATACCAAATGAACCCCATAACGCAATTTTTACTCATCAAGCATAATATCCACGCTTTGAACGAATTGCGGCTAAAAGCTACAAATAATTGTGTTATAATAAAATATTAATAAAATTTATTATTTTTAGCAAATAAAATTTATCATAATTATTTATTAGTACTAAAAAGTATTACTGCTGAATGAAGTTTATCACTACATAGATTATCAAAGGTAATATCTTTTATTTTAATAATTCTCTAGCATCATCCTTCTCGTTAATCTTTTTATACATTAAATTTTTCAATTGGTTATTGTCAGCTTGACCATGGTTATTAAAAATGTTTTATGCTACAGAGTTGACTTCATCCTACCAAACAAATAGCAAATATGTAACATATTATATATGTATATGTATTACATGTATTACCAAATATAAATATCAATACAGTTTTGAATACTTACAGCAAATCCATCTTTTGCTTTCTTTTTATTAGAAATAGTTTTCACTGTTTCAGCATTATTATGATTTAATAGTTCAAGTTCTTTATCATAATTGTTAAGCTTTTTTTTAATGTTGTTAATATTATTCATAATATCTTTTTGATTACAAATAGTTTATTTATTAATGTATCTAAGAAATTATTGTCGACTATAATAATTATCCCTTCAATGGTTTTCCTTCCAAATTTAAAAGGAATTTTACTTACACTTTAAAGTTAATTTTAAGTATATTAAAAATTAGTTATTAAGCTAATAATATTATTATAA